TTTTTTTTTTTCCAGTATTGCTTGAGTATCACTCAGCAGTCCGCTTTGTCTATCTGTTGTCTCTCATTCTTACCACATCGCGGGTGATCAGGTGCGTCTCCTGGCGCGTCTTACAGTGATTTTGTTGTGGGGCAGCCGAATCCCTTCACTGATTCGTTCATTCGTTTTCGCCTTGATTTGGTGTTGATATTATGTGCCATGAAAACAAAATCCATCAGTTTTCCCTTGTAAGGGGCGATTCTCGAAAGGATAACCCATCGAAAATTTTACCAGCAAGTGGTTGCTGCTGGCATTTGCTATTACCTAGCGAGTGGTTGCTGTTGGCATTTCCCTGTTACTCAGTGTATTTTTCCAAGCGTCACCGTCTGTTATAAGCAATGGCCATTAGAAAGCCGAATCAGAAGTGGACGGTGGTTGGGGCGACGGCTGAAGTGGATTAAATTGATAAAAAATTTTTTTGCGGCCAGACCGAACCATAATTTCTGAAGTAACGGGTAGTCTGAACTGTGGAAAATGCGGAGGAAGGTGGAGAATGAAGGGGTGATGGTTCTGGCGCTGTACTGATGTTATTGCTTACAACAAATCGTATCCTTATTTTCATAAGTTCTCAAAGTAAAAAGTTTTATTTAGATGATTGTATTATTGTGGTGCACCAAGCAATTATTGTTCCTTTGGTTACTGCATATTATTGTTTATATTGGAACAGTTAATGCGAAACTAAAAGGACGAATCTGTGCTTATGGTGATATTGATAGAGATCTTTACACGGATATCATTGTTCAGGATAGCGATGGATTGAAGATTTATCTCCAGGTATTTAGGGGCTTTTTTTTATTTGAGCTTAAAGAGAAAATATCAAGAAAAAAAAAACGAGGGTAGTTAGATGTGAAAAGGGTCTGAGAAAATCTTTTTGCTGATTATAATCCAGAAAGCAGTGAACGTCTCTTTTTGGACCATATAAACAATCAGACTCTCCATCCTCCTTTCTCGCGAAGTACGATTTTTTTTTTTT